GTCCCATGTAGGCCAGGGGAGCTGCTCCGCTGCCCAGCAGACCGAGGTTCTGTGGGTTCGGCACGTAACTAGTGCTTGCCTTCTGGCCACTGCGGAAGTCCAGGGAACCGTAGTTTGGACGGCCACCCGATCTACAGAACGGATAAAAGGGGGAAATGAGAATAAAAGAGAGCATACGGTAGACTTATTGACGGCACCTGCGCTGAACAGTTCGGTTAATTATATGCGCGTTACCCGACTAGGTGGCAAAAACGTGGACACCGAATTTGCAGACAGAAAGGCTACGATAATCGATGAAAACATAATAAAAAATAACAATAACAATCCCAGTCGTCGACCTCGTTACCGCAGTAATTAGTACTAGGCAAGCATGCTTTGACACTAGCAAGTAAAAATGGAAACACACCGTCGACCTTGAGCGTTGCCGAAACGTCTACCGCCTGAACTGCCGGTCAGTGCATTACCACCATTTGAGGCACGTTGATCCAGCCACTCTGGCACAGGTTGTTTCGACTCTCGCAGCAACTCAACCAAATGGCGAGCCACATTTTGGTTACGATCGCAGAAGAACGAGGTTGCTGATCCTGGCTGGCCCATGCGTCCGGTTCTACCAATTCGATGGACGTACTCCTCAATGTCCGAGGGTAAGTCGAAATTGATCACGTGCTGGTGGAGGTAGACAAAAAGGGAGAGGGGTCAAGTACCTACCACAGAGAATACATCGGTAGGGACGCAGGCATATTTGCACGTCTCCGACACGAATTCAAGCAAGGTGAATAAGTGCCAGAAAAAGGAGAAATTTCTATATTTAAGACAAAAGACCAGAGCCGGCTACGTGATTGGCTTTTAAGTAATTTGAGGAGATACCTAAGAACGGGTGGCATCCAGTTAGGTTACTTGTTTCCAGGTTCAACGCTTTGTGGTCTCAGGGAAGTCTGCTCGCAACAAAGGAGACAGCAGGGCATTGGTTCAAGACACATTCATCTTGAAAGACGGTACCTGGGTGGTGTATGAGATGAGTGTGTGTTCGTGTTAGCTCCTTTTGCTGGATCGACAGTTTCATCAAACGAAGCAGCGTTTATTTTGGTTGGTTCTGTCATTAGGGAAGTAACAAGTCTGTTGTGGAAAACGCGGAGGGGAGAGCTCTATGCTGGATCAGTCACCACAGACAAACCTAGTCCCATTCCTCCAAACCAGGTCTCGCCTCGGGAACCAGAAATGTGTGGAGTGAGGTCGATAACTTAATATGATCACCAGTCAACACCATAACACTCGGAGTTGAGATGGTCACAATTCTGGCGGATACGCACGCCAACTACCGAACACCTGTCATTGGCAGAAAGAGGTTGGTTTTTGAAACTAACTGGATAAGGGTAGACAGAATGTCATATGCAAATATGGTGGTGCGCCTGGCTGCATTAAGGCGCTAGCACACCTGCACCCTCCAGTACAAACAAAACCAGCTGTCGCCTGACCGGAAAGGAAGGAGCATTTTTTTCTAGTAGTGACCACTTCTTATCCAACCGAACTCAATTAGCAGGAGCACACACCCGCGCAAACAGAAGGCGTACCCAATAAGCAGTTTTCCGGTGTGGAAAGAGCCAGTCGTGGCACTTCCAAGAGGGAGCTGATGAAGATAGGCTCGAAAAGCAAGTCAATCACGAACAGATAACCGGCAATAAGCAGGGTAGGTTTTGTTTTTCAGGTGTACAGGGTGTCAAAGCCGTTTGCCTTCTACACCAAAAGAGGACAATCCCAGTTAATAGTAAAAAAAGTCCATGCGTTCCTTGTTGACATTTCTCCACCTTCAAGCGCTGTGGTCGCCTAAAATGTGCCCGTATGATGCGAAAATAAAGTAAGCAGGCGTTTAACTACATCACAGCACAACAGATTATATTTGTCCCGGCAAACTTTAGCTTAAAGTGTCAGGACAAGAACACACTAGTAGTAAAAACTGTAAAATTCACATCTAACCACCCACAGAGAGGTGTAGCATAGGAGCAATGAAACCACAAAATTCTCGTCGGTTTTAAGACAGCTATGAAACACATGCCCAGTTAAATTTGCACAAGCGTGCACTCTGAACTATATCCTCTGGCTGTGTCGATTTTAGTAAATGAGCGAGGGTCAATAGCCGCATTTGCGCACTCTATGAGGCAGTGTCATTTTAAAGTCGGGTTGATGATGAACATGGCGTTAGCCCAGACAACCTCAGTAACTTTAGCAAACTCGAGAAGACAACCACACGAAACCTGCGAAATGGCGTAAGTGGTCGATGGGCTGACAATTTCAACGGGCACGCTTAATTCCTCTGCTTTTAGCTTGCACGAAAGGCTGCAGCAATGCAAGTATTTCTGTCATAATCAACAGTGCTTGTTGAGGTGCAGATAACAACTACAAGCATATTAACAGTTGCGAAATCAAAGCGTAAGCGCTTTTAATGTTCCGAGTGTCTGGGTAATTTCGTAGTACAAAACCAATGCAACCCTGTGTCCTCTGTGTTTGCAATGTAGGTCGCCATAGTAGAGATGTTACATGCGACAGTTTTTTTGTCTGAGACGAGCATTTGCAACGTCGTATCTGAGGTAACTGCCGGCCGTCGGAGATTGCGTCTGAGTTCTCAAGATTACACATGTTCAAACAGGCAACAGAAACCCCATCTCCTGTCTTAAGGATGCGAGCCGACATGTCTGAAATCTGGTCAACCCTTGGAGACTTTGAAGGATAATTACCCGTCCGGTGTAAGAGTATCAGTCGTATTGAGCACTTCATAGGAAACCATAGGGACTAGATGGATTATAGTGAGAAGAAGCCATATTTCTGCCCATTATTAGGCAGGTCTTAGTTTGTAGGGGGACTACGACAGTGGAGCCATACTTTGGCAAGTGACATTTTCAGGGTCCCTTGGCTTGTGACTTGTTCATGCCAGCGGCTTCTCGGTCCGG